AGGAGATTATGTATGAAGTCTATGAATCTATTGATCGATTTTAGTTAACATGATCTAATTAAAAAAAAAAAAAAAAAAAAAGCGTCACCTGTCTCTTTCTTGCAGCAAAGTGTGAACATTCTTTTGTTTCTATCGAGGAATTCGTCAAAGTATCCAGGGTTCCTAAAAATAGAATATTTGAACTCGAATTGATCGTATCTAGAAGTTTAAGATATGAATATACCATTCATCATCCATTTATACCTGCATTCGGACTTTACTTGGATTTGCAGGTAATTTGAATTGACAATTTTAGTACCTTGATTTAAACGTTGAATTTATATTTTCCTACTATTTCTCGCGATATAGAATGTTGCCAAGGATGTGTCCAAAATCAAGTTGATTTATGAGAAATCTATTGGCTTCATGAAAACATCCATACTAACTGATGTGATGTTTCTTTATCAACCATCGCAAGTTTCCTTGGCAGCATTTCGGATGGCCGCCAAGCAAGATAAGTTTGATTTTAATAAGTATGGTAAATAAATATTTCTTGGAACTTCTTTACGATCATTCTAAATTAACTACCATTTCCGTTACATCTTTAAGCTATTTGCGGCTTAAATTTAAGTCTGACCCTCCAGAAAAAGTTGAATCTCTCTATAAGATTCTAGATGAAATTGAAGAAATTATTAGAAATCATGGATTGACTTCCTTTGAGCAGGCGAAGTTAATTGACGCTCGCTTGCTCAGATGTAAAAACCCCGAGAAGAACCCCAACAGTGCAATGTAAGTTTTACTTTATTGAACATATATATATATATAAATATATTGTTTTATAATACACTACTTTTTAGTATTAAAATTACCTTTGTAAAGCTCTAGGAAGAGGAATCTCGCTAAAGAAGAAATAGAGGATGCCGAGCGTCGTAAAAAGAAAAAACTCGCGGAGGAATATCAAAAAGATGTTTCGTCCGTGTTCGATTAGCGTTATGTGGAAATTGTGTTAAAAGGTAACAGTTAAAACGGTTCTCTCAATTATAATCCACTTTTATTGAAATTTTGCACTTTAATTCTTTTTGACATTCGTTCAATGTAATATTTACGTATTAAATTTGATTAAAAAATAAATCTATCAACAGTCATCCAATTTTTTCAAGTAATCGTCACGTTGCATTATAAAATTCTCATTACCTGATAGTTCTGAAAAATATTCTGAACAAGGGCCAGGCGCTGCACCTGACACTCGCACAGTTCTAATCAAATCTCAAAGCATTGCTTGCATTGTTTGTATGAATAACATTATGTTTATTTATTATTACTCGGAAACATTTCTAAATTCAAGTATTTATGCAAGAATTGTAATTTTTTTTTTTTTTTTTTAATGTTCATCCTCTTTTTGTACTTTGCAACTTCACCTCCAGCAATTTCGTATTGAATTCAAATTAAGTAATAAAACATCCTTTCCTTTTACACCTTTTCCCTTTAAAATAAAATTCTAAGTAAAATTGTATAAATTTAAAAAAAAGTTTTATTTTATAATTCTTCATGACTTGGTTTTTCATTTTCCGGTTCCGGAGGAGCATCATTGTCACTGTATAGTTTGCTCGTGATCGGACTGACGATGGCTTGTAGTTCTTCTCGTTTCTCATCGAAATCTTCTTTGGTAGCAGTATTTGAATTTTCATCAAACCATTCCAGACTTTTCTTAACCGCGTCTTTGATGGTGGTCTTATCTTCGGCGTTAAGTTTCTTTCCAAGCTCACCTTCATCCGAGACTTGACTTTTAAGTGTGTAAATGAAGTTTTCGAGATTGTTCTTGGATTCAACACGTTCCTTCTGAACCTTGTCTTCCTCAGCAAATTGTTCGGCTTCTTCAACCATACGTTCGATTTCTTCTTTACTGAGACGTCCCTTATCATTGGTGATCGTGATTGATTCGGATTTACCAGTGCCCTTGTCGGAAGCGGATACTTTCATGATACCGTTGGCATCAATCTCAAATGTGACTTCAATTTGAGGAACTCCACGTGGTGCCGGAGGGATTCCGGTTAATTCGAATTTTCC